CAGTCGAAATAAATTCATTTATATATCTGCCTCTTAACATTGCCTTAGTACTTCCCTGGGTTTCTTCTTATCAAATTTAGTTGCCTTAATTTCATTACACTTAGCCTTGGTTTTGGTGAAATACCCGGGAACTCGTCTACATTACCGACTCTCTGGAATTTTGGAGGGTACGGAATTGTGATCATGTCCTTATCTATTCAGTGTATTAGAGTATGGTTACTGAACAGCAGCTGAGAACCTAGAAGCTTTTTTGCTGTGTTTGGAAAGAGTATCTGCTTTTTTGAGATGCAGTACATTTATATTAATGCTTAAACAAGGGTGATTCTGGTAGATTGAGGATTATGGATCAGCTCAGTTAAGATTCCCTTACACTGCATCTAGCAGACTCCTCTCCCCACCATGGCTTGCCAAGTTAAAGATTTTTTTCCCCCATATAATCAGAAATCTAGAGTTAGGTTCTCTTGACCTCTATGGTACCGTCAGGAGCCCATGCTTTCCCCGTCCTTATGCTCTGCAATTCTTAGCAAGTAACTTACACCCGATGCTAGCTAGATACCCGTGTTCTGGGTGGGAGGAAGAACAGTAAAGGGCAAAAGTTGTGTACTAACCAATTTTCCCCCCTTTAAAGAGCTGCCCTGGAAACTGCACCTGGAAATTTCTGTTTATATCTCAGAACTATGTCACATGGCTATTTCTAAGTACAGGAGAGGTTGGGAAATACAGTTTTTTAGCTGGGCACACACCATTGCTCGAACAAAATAAGGGCAGTATTATTAGGAAAAGGGAAAGAAATGTTAGTATCCGGGCAGGTGACAGTCTTCTAAGCAATAAATTATCCTAATTGCTTTTATTTTGTTATTTGAGGTGAAGACTGACCTTCTCACCACAGAACATCAGTGTCTAAGGAGCTGCCACAAAATTGACATCTGGGAAGATGAATTTATTTTTGTTTGGGATCCGCTAGAAGGGCTTACTTATATTTTGTGGCTAAGTATAAGTTGAACACAAATAATACACTGGGCCCTATTCACAGTCCAGAGAATGGTCCTAGTACAAGATTACATCTCTATGTAAATGCAAACTTGCCTGTTTTCTTGTTATAGGAATTTGGTAGTTGGAAAAAAAAAAAAAAAAAGATAAGTAGTGGTTATATGAGTTTTTTTTTTAAATTTACATTGATGGGGTAAATGTTTATTAAGCACCTTTTATGTACAAGCCTTCTGCTAAGCACTGTGAGTGAAACAAAAATGAATCAGATACCAGTCTGGCCATCACCAGTGTGCATTGTCCGGAAGGAGAGAAAAATACAAACATCAATGGCCATAACACAAGGTAGAATGTGCTAATGTAATAGGACGCATACAAATCAATTGTTACAAGCATTCAGAAGAGGGAAAGATCATTCCTGCCAGAGAGAAGCGAGTAAACATGACCTGGGGAACCTAAGCACATGTTTTCATTTTAAGAGTTTGCTTTCACAGCTAGTGAGCATCATCGTAAGACTGGAAAGAAATGTTGCTGATGCACAAGCAGTGCCATTCCCAGATCATTACAGAGAGGCAGCCTTGCATGTCGTCCCATCCTTTGGTTCCTCAGTAAGCTGACGTGGAGGTTTGGGGAGGAATGGAGCATCTGTTGAGTGTCTAGTAGGACCTTGGTGTTTGGTCTATTACAAGAATCCTTTATTAAATGCCTGGGCTGGATTTTCATATGTGATCTTCATTTAATCCTCAGTAGTCCAGCAAAGTAATTCTAATTGCCTGTGGGGAAGCTAAGGGTCAGAGAAGTTCAGGAACTTGAAAAGGTCACCCCGTTTGTAAGTAACAGAGCCTACATCTGAGCCCAGGCATACTGGACTGCAAAGCCCTGCTATTTTTCCACTTAGACCTGAGTCTCTGCCTCTCACTGATGACCAAATCTGGATTTGTAGGCATAGTAAGTGTTGAACAGTGAACTCCTTTTTCAGCCCTGCTTAATAGTGAGTCCTATTCCCACCTGGTTAAAACTTGAACGTCACTTGGATACTTTGACTTGCATTCAGAGTTAATTTTTTTACCTGCTTAAATCTTAAGAGAATTGGACTTCCTTTGGACTCTTGAATAATGTATTTTTGTAATAAATAGCTACATATAGGTGGTACAAAATTCAAAAGGATACAAATGATATATAGTAAACAGTTTCCCTCTCTCCTGGACCCCTAGCTAACCAGTTCTTTTCCATGGAGGTTACTAGTTTTTTTGTATATCCTTTCAGAATTGTTCTGTGCAGATAGCAACTTTATGTGTATGTGTTTCTGTGTGTTTGTGTATCTGTGTGTTGGTGTATATGTGTGTGGTTCTGCATAATCTTTTTGCTTTTTACAAAAATAGGAACTTACTTCTGATCTTGCTGTTTTTATTCATTTTTTTATTGTATTTAGATGTTCCAGCAAGATGTTTTAGCAAAAGAAAAACTCAGTGATCTTGAAAAATATGGTTAAGTTGTCACTTTGGCAACATGTATCAAATCGATGTTCTTTATTGATGGCAGTTACTTTACAGCATGCAAAATCGCACTCAATAAAGAATATTTTCACTTCCAAGAGCCCTTTGCTAACAATGGCTTTTCTTCCTTGGTTCCCCTTCCAGTGACTTTGTCTATGGACGGCTGCTGTAGCGCTCTGCAGCCTTCATTCTGATTTCTGGTCTTCCCTAGCCTGAAGGAGGCACCGTTTTTCCCTTTCTTCCTTTCTTTATTATGAACAAAAATATTGATAGGGGCCTGAATGGGGCACTTTCGAGCACTCTTCAATCTATGCTCACGTGTCAGGATGTAGTGGTGAAAAGAGGATCCTACAGGAGCCCTTTCCTGCCTCCCTCCCCTCCAGTTGAATGTCTCCCACAGATGTGGAGACCCTCACGTATGGAAATGGTGCTTGAAAGGAAAGGATTTGTTTCTGAGGCTGCCTTGCTGAACTTTTTGGTTACTTGTCCTCAGAAGGCTTGCCGGAGCAGAATCAGGGCTCCTGGGCCCTCTCAGGCCATCTAAGACCTTCCACATGTACAGACACCACCCCCCTCCCCCAGTGCCAACCTCCAGGCTCTGCCCATGGGCTTGGGTCTTCCTTTGTTCCCCTTCTTTGGGTCAGAGATGAAGGTGAGTGAAGAGCTTTTCAATTTCTGTTTTGGATGGTTTGCAGAGATGAACATCTCAGACTATTCCATTTGAGAATGCTCTGACCCTCTTGCTCTGAAATCGCTTTGCTCTTTGTCAGGCCTGTCCATGCGATACATTTCCTCCGCACAAGACTCTTTGATCCCCCTCAGACCTGTCTAGCCCAGGACCTTTGGCACATTTCCATGAAATGGGACATTCCAAGGCATGAGTATAGAAGGATTAGTTAACATTTTACTAAAGCTACCAATTTATCTTTTATATCTTAAAAAATAAAAGAGTCATTAAAAAGTCATAAAAGATAATACTAATAAAGTCTATCTAGAAGGTAAATGTTTCCTAAGAGCATCTGATCTTATTCCTTTAGGCCTTGCTGTAAGGAAATGACATTTCTCCCATGTCTCTTTAAATGTAGTGTCTACAGATGGAAATCAATTGCCAGAAATTCTTTTAATAAAAAAGACCTTATGTGTTTTGTCAACTTCATTCTTTTTCTCTTAGCATTATTTCACATTTAAAGCTTTTATAATGCATGGATATTGAAAGCAGTATTAATAGTATTGAATGATCAGTAACAAAATTTGTGACCCCAAAAAACCGAATTTCTAATGAGGTAAATAAGTCGTAAGAATTTTTTAAGCATGTACTTGAGAAAGCATACATTTACATCCTAACTATAGACACGTGTTGGTGTTTGTGATATTTAGATGGTGATTTTTAGGTCTTTATTGATTTGTAGGCTTACCCTCTGCGTGAATATACCTTTGTGTTGATCTTAGATTCGTTTAGCGAGCAGTATTCAGATAGTCGTTTCACTTTGAAGTACCTTATTTTTTTTGAAGATTTTATTAAGTAACCTCTGCACCCAGCATGGGAGACTGGAACCTACAGCCCCTGAGATCAAGAGTCGCATGCTCTACCGACTGAGCCCACCAGGTGCCCTGAGGGTGTTTTGAAGTGTAAAGTCTTATGTCAATCTTTAGGTCCACAAGGTGTTACTGTGTCAGAAAAGTTAAAGTTAGTAACGAGCTTGCTCGCTTGCTTGCTTGCTTGCTTGCCTTTTTTTAAAGATGGATAGGTAACAATGCCACCTTTCTTTTCTTTCTTTCTGTTTTTTTAAAAAGATTTTATTTATTTATTTGTGAGAGAGAGAGAGAGAGCATGCACGCAAGCAAGCAGGCAGAGGCAGAGAGAGAAGCAGGCTCCCCGATGAGCAGGGAGCCTGATGCGAGACTTGACCCCAGGACCCTGGGATCATGACCTTAGCCGAAGGCAGCGGCTTAACCGACTGAGCCACCCAGGCGCCCCAGTAACGAGCTTTCTGTTCCAGCCTCCTGTCTCCACCCTTTATGCTCACTATGCCCTTGCCACCCTGGCTTCTTTCTACTCCTCAAATGTGCAAACCTTCTAGAAGAGTTCCAGGTTCTCTAAGTGGGCTGGAGTTGAATCAAGTTTCAAGCCACTTCTGTTTTGTGCGTTATTTCTTGTGCTTGACACCCACTAGGAGACATTCATTAAATATTTGTTAACAATGAAGGAAGCGAAGGCTGAGAGAGACCAAATGCTTTTCTGATTTCTGTAGCTGGAAAATACACAGTACCCAGATACCCTGATTCCTAGCCCAGTATACTCTCAACAAGACTGTCTCCACTCTATGCTTCCAGAGATTTCCCTTCTCTGAGCGTGGCCCTGCACTGGCCTCATTAGAGAAGTTTTCCCTCAAAAATTACCTGAAGGGTTTCCCTTTTCCTTTTGTCTCACTTGAGGATTACAAGCCAGATGTTCATTATAGCAGATGGGTTATAAAGGACATCTCCATTGCCCATCTTTTTTTCTTTTTCTTGTAGGCCATCTTTGGCAGTCACACACTCTCTAACTCCAATTTATGGACAATAAATAATGGTGCAGCTTGCAGAATTTCAAGTGCCACAGGTAGTGGCCAGAAGCCAACCCCTCTGCCCCAGAAAGTGGTGCCGCCTCCAAGTTCTTCCTCGTCGCTGACCCCCAAGCCCCCAGCCAATCACAAACAAGTCCTCAGAAAGACCACATCCCAGAGGGCCTCCAAGTAAGTTGTCCTTAATCTTCTGTTCGGTTTCTCCTGAGTGGTGTCAATTCTGTGCTACGAGTACTGTTTATTTATGAGGATTTCAAAAGTGTTTGTACTGAAATGTTGAAGACAGGAGCCTGTGATGGGGACTGAAAGCTAACTTTGGTTCTCAGCCTGGGCTGCAGGTCAGCATCACCAAGGGAACTGGTGAGCCCTGCCGAGATTGGGGCTGTGTACCCTGTGGGAGGGGCAGGTGCGGCTCTTAGCTTCCCTGGGGATTGTGATGAGAGCTGAGGCAGGTTCAAGGTCATTGCTAAGTCTTCCAGCCTCTGACAGGAACTGCGATCAGACCGTGCGCCCGGTAATGGTGCTGAGCTGTGGGCTTGGAGAAAGGAAAGGAAGGCTTCTTCCTGATATATTCTGTTCTTGGTCTTTCTACAGAGTCTGATCTCTTCAATTTCATATAAAATTCAGTACTACCCCCCCTAACCCTTGTTTGTTGTTTACTTCTAGGCATTTGGATGGGAAGACATTGGAATGGGATTTCAAGCTGGGGTTGGAGGGGTGGTAGTTAACTTAATTGACATTAGTATACAGGCTCTGTGGAGCAACATGTTTCTAATACCTTTTGTAGTCTGCCCATTTTACCTCAAAAAAGACACTTCCATGCCCAAATCAAATTTTTTCACATTCCATCCTTCACTGTTGCCAGCCATATTTTAGCTAATGAACCAGTCATAGACTAATAAAGAGTATTAGTTCTAATAGCCCTTCTCCATTTAAAATTGGGGAACTTTTCAAGGATGCCTGTAAAAAGCAGGTGTCTCCTGTTGGATAAACACCTAGAGGGGGTTTGTGTCTTTCTCTTGCCCTCATTAAGGCTCCTCGTTCATGTGTCCTTTGCAAAATCAATTTTAGTTGTAAGAACGAATCCTAGGACACAGAAAAAGCAGTTCCTCTTTTTTTCCCCTTGGACCATGAATCAAATTCTGGATTTGGATGGAAACCAACCCCTCGTGGCTGTTTTAATTATATTGCTGCCATTATTCATTTATCCAACAAATATTTACTCTGTGCCTACTAAGGGCCAAGTGCCATTGTAGGAAGAGTTGACATTGTAATGACTTTACAGACTCTCCAGAGCAGTAGAGAAAGGCAGTCGGAAGGGGGCAGTTTGTGGTCGAACGCCAGGAGCACAGTAAGAAGGACGCTGTATGGCTCCTCACTCTGGCAGGAGTAGAGGCGAGTCCTTAAAGGTTCAGCCTCTGGAGCCAGACTGCCTGTGCTCACACCCTCCCTCCGCAGTTTAAGACCTGGAGACCTCTGGCAAGTTGCAAGGTCCTTTATCTGTTAGCCTCACTGTCCACAGTTCTGAAGCAGGGATAATAAAGAGTACCTGCCTCATAGGACATAACTATTTATGTTCTCATAGGACATAACTATTCGCAGAGTTAATCCACGGAAAGTACACAGAACAGGACCTAGCACACGGAAGAACTCAGTGAGCCGGAGTTGCCATCATAAGCATTCGAAAACCATGCTCCTTTTCACAGGTTCAAGAAGCCCACAGTTAGGTAGGAAAATCTGTGAGTCAGATATGAATGTTGAATTTGCCAGTGCACTCCCTGTTTGTGGCTCCTCTGAGTACTGCCAGTAGCCCGAGATGGCCCACGGTGGCCTGTGTAGCGGGCTGGTATGCCGGGGGGGACGTGGGCTCTGTCAGCAGGCAGCAGCGCCGGACCTTTGAAGACGCCGTCCACCTCCCTGAACTCAAGGGAGCTCTTCAGCCCTTAGAGATGGAATTGCAGCTCTACAGACAAACTTTGCTGCATTTTTGTGGTTTCTTCTCTCTGACAGGCAGGAGTGTGGGAAAACCGGAAACAGCTCAGCACCAAAAATGCACAGAAGGGGGGAAAAAAGCAAGATTTCTTCAGAATTGAAGAAATACAATCCAAGTATCAAAAGGCATGCTGTAAGGCGTTGTTCCAGGAAATAGTTTCCAATTTGCCTTTAAAATTCTAACACAAGTCTCCGAAGCTAAATAAGTTAGTACTAATGGAGACCTTACCATTTCTCTCGCTTACATGTAAAATGTAGTGTTGCCAGGGCCCCCCATTTTTAATATTCTTCAGACTTTTAGGAAAAGGAATAACATTGTTCTTATCTGACCCAACTCAATGGAAAGTTCCTTCTAGAAAGTATTCAGGTAAAAAATTTTTATTTTTTACCTTTTTATTTTATAGTAATTTCAGATTTACAGAAAAGTTGTACAGACAGTACACATGAAGGTAAGAACACCAAGTTGTCCCCATTGTTAACATCCTGTATCACCATGTACATTTGAAGAAGGTGCCGTACTGAGAAACCGTCATTCGTACATTATTATGAACTAGAAATGCCGCACTTTATTTGGATTGATGAAGTTATTTTTAATCTAGAGAAAACTTTCATGGCCCCTGAAATTAGGATCCTTGAGTATCAGCTGATTTATTCTTACTGTTCTAAAGTAATTAATGCTCCTTGCCAGCCTAGCAAGTTACTTAACATTTGTGTGACTTCATTTCCTACTTAAAATAGGGATAATAATAGGACCTGCCTCATGGGGTTATTAAGAGAAATAAATGAATTAATGTCAGGCACAGACATGGTGCCTGGTACATTAAACATGCTGAATTAGCGTTCACCATTATACTGTGTCATTCTTAGGTTCATACTAAGATGACATTTCGAGAAATTTTTGGATAACTTTTTACTCTTTTCCTGCAGGATATTTTGCTTCATTTGCTGGGAGCTCATTTCAGCCTTTATTCTGGCTCAGTTCAGATTAATCAGGAACCCTCAGTTATGAGTGGTGATATTGAGTCACACTCAGGAATGCCATAGTTGCCCCAAGAGACACAACTAATGAGAAGTTGTAATGAGCTATTGACCGTGCCAAGCCCTGTGTTTTTGGGTTGAACTTCAAACTTCTCCTAGCACAGACGTGGGCATTGGACAAATATAGAAGCAATTTCCAAGAGCATCAAAGTTTCCACATCCTAGAGGGTTGAGTTTAGAGAACAATAGAACATAAAAGATGGAATGTCATTTGGATGTTGGTGCAAAGGGAGTTGAGAATCAGAACAGTGGGGTCCTATTTCTTTATGATAATATTCAAGTGACTTTCCCTCTAAAGACTTCAGTTTCCCATCGGTAAAACAAAACCACTGTCCCCACTGAATAATTAACCAAAATAACTTGTTTTCTGTCTGTTCTGTTGAAAGCTTTTTATGATCACATTAGTTTTTTTCATCCTGTTGCTTTACAGCCATTTCCTTGTCCCCACTTGGCCCAGAAGTTCTTTGTCGTAGTTCTCAGATCTACGTATTTGCACTACAGGATGACAGGCTAGGATCAGCGACATGCATCTGAACTGTGTCTTCCGTGTATAAATGACCTTTTTCTCAGAGCAAGAATCGTGCTCTCCAGGAAATATGGGGAAAGAAACCTGCGGAGATTAAAGTTTGCCAGGGACATGGGCAAAACTCACAGACTAACCATGACTGGGAAGGGCAGAGTCAAAGCTGTGGTGCTGGGGCCGCTCTGAAGAAAGAAAGGTCCGAAAGAAACCCCAGACTTAACTACAGTGCTCTTCTTTAAATAGCTGGGGTTACCTTTCCTTGCCCAAGTTGTAGGATGTTCTGCACCAGGGTGACCTCAGCGGAAATTGAAGGTAACTGCTTGTTCTATGTCAGGACCCAGGACAGTGATGTTTGTTAACGGCTGCTGGGCATCAGGAAGGGAGGAGGGCGGCCAGGAGCCCAGCAACGGCGGGGAGACCAGGACGCATTTGTGGGATGGGACTGCTGACAGGAGCAATATGATGAAAGATGCAAAGATGCTCAGAGATTAAGGTCAAACATAAAAAATGGGGATCGGGTTTAAAAAACAACGCGCTCTATCTTTTTAACATAAGCATCATTAATGTGAGGCAAAGGGATCAGGAGTTGAAACGGTCCAAAAGTTAGGTTCTTGATACAAGAGGTCGTATTGTAGCAACCATCTTCTGTCAGTCTTTCAGCCTTTTTTATTATGTGTAGTTTCAAGAAATATGATCGAATCTGTGACATTTCCATCTTAAATACAGGATTCTCTGAATTACGCATTTCCAAAATATGTATTATAGAATTTTAGTGCTAAAAGATAAAAGACTGTAGGGTAGTGAAAGGGTGAAAGGCTGTGAGTGTAGCAAGGTCCACAGGTGGTCCTGGCAGAGCCAAAGCCAAATCTGTGTCACCTACTGTGTTAACCCCAGACTCTTCCCAATAGACCCCTAATTTCAAAGGCCCCCCGCCAACCTGTTCAGATCCATTCTGTACTGCAAATGACAAGTTAATCATCCTAAAATTTTGCCTCCGGGAAAATGCAACGTAAGCACTAAAGAGCACGCTCCCCTCCCTTTCCACACCAGTTTTACTACTTAAGTGGCCACTGAAATACTCAAAAGGGGGAAGAATTATTGTCATTCTCCTACTGCAGTGTTGGGAGAATTTCTGTTAGATGTAGCCTGGGAAGGATTGGATTAAAGAACAATACTGAAGGCCTTTATATACTGCCTTCCTATGAGAGTGAAGTCTAGAAAATGAGTGGAATATACAAGACAACACCCTCTCACTCTAAGGGGAAGGGCCTTGAAGTACAAAGAGGGCGCAGGAGCTAGTCAAGGGGTCCCCAACTTAGACTCTTTCCTCTATCAGCCTTCAGCATTTGGACTTCAGCAGTAACATTAGGATATCTTAGGGTTTTGCTTTTGGCGTGGATGATGACATTGGTCAGAGACCTGGGTGCTAGGAACCACACGGAACCAGAAGTTCTGCTGGCATGTGTATGGTCCAATGAGGAGGAGAAGTATGTGAGAGTCATGGAATGGTGGGTCTTCCTTTGGTGATTCATACTTGGGTAATTTAAATTAAAATCTTACTTCTCCTCCCTGCCACTGGGATGTTAAAAAATGGTAATATAACTGGGGCACCTGGGTG